CGAAACGTCGTCGTAAGCTCTTCTCTTCTATGTGCGGGTTATTTGTGTATCGTTCCAGTCACGGTATTGTGCCTTTTTTTGCTATTCATGAAGAAATTTGCAGCTCGTGTTACAGTCTGAACAAGAGAGAGAGCACACTGCCCTTTGACAAGTAGCTTCTGCACGGAAGATTTATTTCGTGAAAGTACAGTTCGTGCCCTCAGAGGCTGTAGAGCAGGTGAACGATTGTGAATGAGCACGGAGATATGGACCAAGTCATCAACGTCCTGCAATTTTTCCCTGTCGATCTTCTCCAGTCTTTTTTCTCTGGGTAGCTGAACAGACAGTAACTTGGTGGCCAGCGGTTGATAATGAATAACGTAATGGATAGTGGAGCGCTAAGGAAAGACGGGCCTTGATCCACATTAGAGTTCCTTGATGAGTTTGTCGTTACTGCAGCTCCATCCGGTGTTACAGACACTCATTTGGTCTAATTCAAATGCGATTCTTCAATGAATGCGATTAAGTTTAGAAAAATGACTTTCCCAGTGGTTTGAGCGCCAAATGGTTGACGGAAGTGATCCGCAATTTTCCCTCTTTCTCAGCATTGAGAAAATGATAGTAGGTAATCGGTTGAGCAGAGTTGTTAACATCAGTTGTGTGGTCGCTCTGTAACACAAGACAAAGAAGACAGGAAGCTGCTCCTTCATTGCAGCGACCGCTTCTTTGTGTTATCTGACAGAGGAAGGTTGTTGACTTTGTTTACCGCTGTCTTTGCTCTTGCGGATACTGTGCCGTCATCATCAAGCAAGGAATAATGACGTTTTCTGCCCTTGTACGGTTTTTTTTCATTAAAATGTAGGAGATCTTGTATGATGCAAGCAATAAAGTTGATAGAATTACCGACAATATGTAAAGTAAAAGGACACAAGTGCAACTAATGTGACATTTATTGTGGCAACGTTTCGCTCTCCAGGAGCTTCATCAAGCCATTCAATGGCTTGATAAAGCTCCTGGAGAGCGAAACGTTGCCACAATAAATGTCACATTAGTTGCACTTGTGTCCTTTTACTTTACATGATGCAAGCAGCAAGAGCTTGTCTGCTCTCTCTGGTATCACAGCGTCTTCGAACCAAGTCTGCTGCTCTCAATGAGCAACAAGCTGAAGTCTTAAAAAATTAGAGAATTTATTGTTTGTGGTCGGAAATGAGTGCTGTGAAAGGTCTTGACGAGATACTATGGGCGAGTGGTAAAAAGAGACGTTAGACAAATGGGGACAAATGGGAGGTATACTCCAAAGTTCAAGTAGTCCTCTGAGCCCTTTCTAGAAATTTTAAATGAATCCTGCAGCACAATTTTAGTTTTTCTTACTTTTACTTCAGTCGTGTGATCAGGGATCTTCATCTTCTCCATTCATCTGAGATCCTTCCTCACCATAGTGTTCCGTAATTTCTTGTCCTACTTTCACTTTCCATTCTTTTCTCTCTTGCTGAGAGCACTTGCTTTTCCCAACAGAGAATAAAAAGAGCATAACCCGCACATAGGAGAAAGAAACTTATGAAGACGTTTCGGTCCTACTGGAACCATTATATAATCACAAACAAATACGCAAACAAGCCAGTATATGTGCGGGTTATTTGTGTATTTTCCCAACACTTCACCTGTACAACCTTACTGGACCTGAGTCATCCTAGCCAGTTAGGTCACCCCTGGCCTATATAATATAATAGAATAATATAATATCTTTATTTCTACAAGTACATGTACATGGTATACAGTCTTAGTTAACATCAATGACATACTACTATATAGACAACCACTTGTTATGCAGAGCATTTCGGGCAAATTAGGTCAATTTTGTCCCAGTCGACTAACACCCAGGTACCCATTTTACACTGATGGGGTGAACATGGACAGCAGGTGTTTTATGGAAACACGTCCCTAATGTTTTCCAGCCGTACCGGAGATTCGAACTCTGGACCTCAGTGTGTGAGGTGAGTGCGCTAGTGATCGAACTACGGGACACCCAACAGTGGTACCAACACTCTTATATGGGTGTGAAGCATGGGTTGTAAATGTTGCATCGAGGAGGAGGCTGGAGGCTGTGGAGGTGTTGTGTCTAAGGGCAATATGTGGTGTGAATCATGACTCACGAACTCGTAATGACACGACTGCAAAAAAAAAAAAAACATACCACGGGAGGAGATAGAAACCACTCTTAGAAAGTCATAAAACTCCAGACTGAAGCGTTGGTCACTGGGCCAGCTGGCTACAGTAAGAGTCATCCAACTAGGCATATTTATATACCATAGGAAGGTCAGCATAGGTACCTAGTTGGATGAATCTTATCTTACTGTAGCCAGCTGGCCTAGTGGATAACGCGTCAGTCTGGAGTTTTATGACTCTCTGATAGCGGGTTCTACCCCCCTCCCCCGCGTGGTATGGTTTGTGGTGTAAATATTGTGCAGAGAGTTCGTAGTGTGGAAATTGGGAGGTAGTGTGGAGTAACTAAAAGTATTAGTCAGAGGGCTGAAGAGAGGGTAGTTGAGGTGATCTGGTCATTTAGAGAGAATGATACAAAGTAGAATGACTTGGACAGCGTATAAATCTGTAAGGGAAGGAAGGCAGGGTAGAGGCCGTCCTCGAAAAAGTTGGAAGGAGGAGGTAGAGCAGGTTTTATGGGCGAGGGGCTCGGACTTCCAGCAAGTCTTGTGGTTCAGCATCCTACGTGGAAACTGACGCCAGGTCTTGTGTTCCAGCGTCCTACGTGGAGACTGACGCCAGGTCAGTTTCCAGTGTGCGTGAGTTTTCCAGTGTGCGTGAGTTTTCCAGTGTGCGTAAGCGTGTTGAATATGAGTGAATGGAGACGAATGGCTTTTGGAACCTGACGAGCTGTTGGAGTGTGAACAGGGTAATATTTTGTGAAGGGATTCAAGGTTAGCGGTTTGCCGGACTTGAGTTCTGGAAATGGGAAGTACAATGCCTGCACTTTAAAGGATGGGTTTGGGATATTGGCAGTTTGGAGGAACGTCTAAGCTGTCGTATCTGAGAGCCTCTGCAAAGACAGTGATTATGTACGAGTGATGGTGAAAGTGTTGAATGATGAAAGTTTTTTTTTTCTTTTTGGGTTACCCTGTCTTGGTGGGAAACGGTCGACGTGTGAGAAGTCACGAAAGCGCATGGAATTTCACTATTCTTTCAGAGTGGTTGTTTTACATATTTTTGATATCACCTGTTTACTGTGATCTTATTGCATATATATATATATATATATATATATATATATATATATATATATATATATATATATATATATATATATATATATATATATATATATATATATATATATGCAATAAGATCACAGTAAACAGGTGATTTGAGAATATGCAAAACAACCACTCTGAAAGAATAGAGAAATTCCAAGCGCTTTCGTGACTACTCACATTATCAAGGATAATGTGAGTAGTCACGAAAGCGCTTGGAATTTCTCTATTCTTTCAGAGTGGTTGTTTTGCACATATATATATATTATATATATATATATATATATATATATATATATATATATATATATATATATATATATATATATATATATATATATGTGTGTGTGTGTGTGTCGTGCCGAATAGGTAAAATTGGTCAGTTAGCAAGAACTCATTTAAAATTAAGTCCTTTCTAAAAAAATTCTCTTATACGTTTAAAGATATATTTTTTTTAATTTATGTTAATATAAAAATTAATAATTTTGTACCAAAAGAACCTTGGAAAACTTACCTAACCTTATTATAGTAAGTGCAATTTAATTTAGCCTAAACCAACTAAATGTATTTTTGGTTAGTTTACAATAATTTAATAAACACAATGAAATATATTTTTTTCGTTAGGGTCAGAATGATTTTTGCGACATTATTGCATACACATTTTCGCCTGCCTTATTCGGCAAGAAGATCGTTGCTATTTAAGCCAAAATCACAAGCTTTACCTATTCGGCACGACATATATATGAGAGGGAGGTATATTTTTTTACTCCCTATGAAACATTAAGTACATAAAAATCTTTGACTCTTGGTACGTGATTATCACTGCTGGTGAAATACACATTGTTGTATCACGAAGCTATATTGACGGTGACAGCTGTACTGAGTGACAGCTGTACTGAGTGACAGCTGTACTGAGTGACAGCTGTACTGAGTGACAGCTGTACTGAGTGACAGCTGTACTGAGTGACAGCTGTACTGAGTGACAGCTGTACTGAGTGACAGCTGTACTAAGTGACAGCTGTACTAAGTGACAGCTATACTAGCAGTTGATACTAAGGAATAAACAGTTTCAAACTGCCTTTGTTTCTTGATACTGCTAAACTTAGATAAATAATAAATTATGTAATAAAAATATAAGGTTACATGTTTGTTAATCATTTACACTACGAGAGTCACAGCTTCTCGCAACAACACCAGTAAATTATGTTTATATTGAGAAAAAAATATATATATACATGTAAATCTTAAATTAGAACTAGAAAAGTTTATGAGAAGTAGATATATACCCAGTTAGTGGGTACCAGGGCACGTCTTTGGATGGGGGGTTGCTGTGTAAAATACTTTTAACAGACATACAGTTGGGTCCGACTATGTAAGTTTATTGAGGTATATGTACACATAAATACATAAATTGTCATACATAGTAACGTATGTGTAGATTACCTAAGATAACCTAAAAAAGTGAGTTACTTATTTTCACTGGGGTCGTACACAGCCTCTCAGTGGGGTAGTAAACTCCTCTGGCCAAGATCTTACTGGGCGGCACTCCCCGAAGTCGCTCCTGCGACTTACACTGACGGAACAAGTTATGGTGGACGGTGTTAACCAAGGTTTTGGGATTAGTAAACCCCGAGGGTTATAAACCAGGTTTGCACAAGATTGCCAAGCAGTGTCGTTTATTCCATTTTTTTTAAAGCCAAACAACTGACTAACTGCTAGATACCCAGTTGCTACTAGGTAAATAAGAGTATAATGTCTTGCTTCGCCCGGGTATTAAACTCAGGCTCTTTTATATTGTGAACCCAAAATTTTACCACTGGGATACCAGTGAAACATTGTTATATGGAGTAAGGTGTGCAGTGTCTCAGACGTCACTGTAGTTAGCAGGAAGCAGCAGTGCCTGAACACTGAGTGTCACTGCTGTCTCTTGAGCCTTCTTATCCTCATTTGTTTTACACTTGCATATATACATGAAACTGAGGTCATAGCGTTCCCCTCCAACAAAATCATTGTCTGACTTATCAACTATAACACTTGGTAATTGATTATAACGTAAAGAGCACTGCAACAAAGCTTGTAATATTCCTATGGCGTTAAAGTGATCTTTTTCCTGACGTACACATATACTGATATAAAAAAATATACTGTACACTGGGTTCAATGTCACCATTCATATTAACATATTAAGGAAATCTTTACGAAGCTGTTAATAAGTCAGTGAATGGGTCATGTATTCAGCACTTGTCTCTGATGGATAAAGTTAAAAGAGGCGGGGCTGTCAAACTTACAAGAGGCGGGGCTGTCAAACTTACAAGAGGCGGGGCTGTCACAGTCTTACAAGAGGCGGGGTTGTCATAAAGTTTCACGGGACAAAAAAATAAACACTGAGAAGCACTATTATTTAAGTTGCTACAGTCAAAATTCTACAAAATGTATGAAAAAAATCACCAGATCGTTGTTTTAAGTGAGATAAATACGAGGCAGATCATTTGGTAGTAAAGAGAGGGAGGTCAAGACCAGGCCGAGGCAGCTTTGAGTACACCACCAGTGTTGCTAGTCCGCGGAATGTTAGTGTAAATCTGAGAGCGTTCTTCATCGTCAGTAGTGCAAGGGCCGTCGTAGCTCATAAGGATGGTGGAGTACTGTACACGATCGCTCACTCTGTGTCCCTCGCTGTCCTCATTAGTGTCCTGGCTGTCTTCCTTGTCATCTCGGCTGGCTTCTCGACTCGATCTCTGAGGTTGTCTTTCACCGGCCCTCTTCATAGCAGCTTCAGTTTCCTCCTGGAATCGACGTTTTAGCTTGATCTGGTTGTGTTGGTAGCGCCAGGCCAGGAAGAGGATACACACTACCAGCAACAAGAGAAACACCAAGAAGAAAGGCCAGGCTGGTGTACCCTGGACGTGTGTGGTGTTCTCAGCCTGGGTGTGGCTCTTGTCTGCTCTAATTGAGTCCTCACCTTGATCTAAAACAAAAAGAATATGAATTAATATTTTTATATTTTAACAAGGTTGCCAAAAATTGTATAGGAAACCCACTATTACGTATAGCTGAGCCACGCCAATGCTTAAAAATATAAGAAAGAAGGAGCACTGCAGCAAGTCTACTGGCCCATGCTACGCAGGGAGAATCAAGAAGAATTGAAGAAGACGACCTCCACGAAATCTCTTCGCCAACCAGTAACTTCTGCATTCTAATACAGAAAAGAATGGTTAAAGATCAGGAGTGTGAGGCAATCAGTCCCTCAGCCGCCGCCGCCACTGAAGCTCAACCTACAGATCCTTCTGAGGGAGAAGTTGGCATCTATGGCAGAGTATTGGAATGATACAGCCTTATTTTCTACACCTCTCTATCCTACAGAAGTTCTATGCTCTGCAAGGAACTGTATGACGGCACAGTCAAATTCGCCTCTTTTCGACCATTCCTCTTCTCGCTGAACAAGTCCAGGAATACGTCAAGCACCACACAACTGACACGAGAAACCCTGTTGAGCTGTCCCACCTCTCCAGATCATCCTTCATGAAATTCAGGAAAGTCTCCTGTACTGCAAACCCTCCTTTACCATTCAACAACTCCACAGTGTAAAGAATTAGACACATGTGTAACATCTGAGTATCTTTATTTGCAGACGTTTCGCCAGCCAGTGGACATATTGTGAAAAATTACGTAAAAAAGATGAGGTTGATTACCTCACCCTAGGAGTTGGTGAAGAGCTCCGTAGTCTTGAAGGAACTGAAGTAGTCATGGAGCTTGGCGCTTATGTACTGGCGACAAGTGTAGGATGTGCAGCAGACGAAGGCATTGTCACTGGTAGGCGGGAATCCCCAGTGGAAGTAGGTCATACCCAAGGAATAGGCCAAAAGTAAGAAATAAGGTTGTGCAGCTGTCCTCTGCTGCACGTCCTTCTTGGTTGCTTCTTGTGAGTTCCCCTCCTTCCCTCCTCAGCCTGATTACCTGGTCCTTGACTGTTGTCTTCCTCCTGATGTGGGTATACAACAGCTTCGTGTTAGGCTTGACTTTCGATGCAATGTCATTTTCATACTGCCGCTGGGCCTCCCTCCTTATCTGCGCGTACTCGTTTCTGGCTCTTCGACTAATCTATTTTCCTGGGTTTTTTGTCTTCTATACTTTTTCCATTCTCTAGCGCACTTAGTTTTTGCCTCCCTGCACCTTTGGGTAAGTCAAGGGCTCGATCTGGTCGTCCCATTATTTCTGTTGCTCTTGGGAACAAACCTTTCCTCTGCCGCCTTGCATT